TGCAAATTCACACATTGTAGTTGAAGAGTACACGGGGCTACCCTCGCTCCCAGGCTGTTTCTTAATTACGCCTCCTGAGACTGAAGAGACAGTGTGGGAATGAGACCGAGCCAGAGGTCGTTAAATAAAGTTTCACCTGTAAGTAGCTAGAAATAGTAAAATGTTAAGAAATCGAGAGTTTTAAAATAAAATGGCTGGAGAGTTGATCAAGCGTTTCAGGTGCTCAGTGGATTCCATTTACGTGTGAAAAGTTATTAGATTTATTGTATGCTTGAACAGGTCCGGCATGAAAAAAAGAATTCTGATGGGTTGCCTTAGCGGTTCATATTTTGCAATACAGACCGCGGAGATGGCCCGCTCACGAATTAATTTCGGCGAATTGCTTTTTCAATTCATTGCACAGAATAAACAGTTTTTTGTCAAGTAGAATTTTTTTTTTACCTTCATCTTGGGAGGACGATTACAGTTAAATGTTCACAAAAGCGACCCGAGAAACGTAAGTAATTGTTTACCTTTCGCGCGCGCGTTTACCGCCTTTGGGTTTCGTTGCCATAGCACGATCAGTTTAGTGTACTTTTGTACACTTTTAGTTTTTAAGAAAGTCAACTATTGGCTTCTCGGTCCTTCCTGGAATTATTTCCTCTATAACATTTCGTGGTTTTTAGTCACGCTTGTTAAGGTTACTCTAGTAAGCAGTCAAACGTATTACCAGGGGAAAACGTCTTCAAAGTAATAGGCCATTTTCGTATTCTCGGTATAGGCCTGGAACGAGCTTCCAACTGAACCTAATGCGTGGAGTCTTTTCAAATGCAAATTACATATACCTCTTTTTAATGATATTCCTCCGCACGGCTGCATGAGCCTCCATTACAAACTGTTCCTGTTTGACCCTGTTTAATAATGGCCTATTAAGTTTCAGTATTGTTTTTCACTTGTTATAATTTATTTTCCTTCATGTTCGAACTTCATACTGAAGTTCTTAATAAAACCGTCTTCGATTAAAAACACGTATAGGTGAATAAGCATTTATTAAAACGTGGAGTTGCCTGAACAACACTTTGCTTCTATAACCGACATTCACAAAAGTAAAAAGGTAAATTAACTTGGCGTTGAAGGAAAAAGACGGCGTCTCTACTGTTTGTATTTTGGTGCCGAAATTCATATTACGCAAGCCTTGTTAGAAAAAATCATATCCAACATACGCCAGTTCAAACCCCTTTCAGACTGGCCCTACGGGAACATTTTAACATTTGACAATTTTATTTATTTATTTATTTTTCGTTTTTTTGTAAGAGCACCATGCACATCATAGTATTACTTTGCATTTTGTTAACTTGATCACATGCACCTGTACCAGCACTCCGTGGCGGGATGGACAACCTTTGCCATGTATAAATGTAAATGTGTACGTATTTTTACTCTTGCATTTCACCCCTTAGCTACTTTGTAATACATGGTGCAACGTTTTGGCCTAAACTTTTCGTTCTTGGTTTTGACTGGCATTTCGTATTCAGGACTTCGGTCTGTGACTACCCGTTTCTGCAGGCTCGATTATCAGCCGCAGCTGTTCGACAAAAGAGCCCACGCGCCTCCCGCCAAACTCAGGGAGGAATGTGGACCGGACTCGAGAGAACGGTGGAAATCGAGCCAAGCGTTTCTGCAGATTCGATGACGTATGTGTCCAGTCCTCATAAAAAAGGAGCAAGCACGATCACGATCTGTTCCCGACGCTTTGATCAGTGACCGTTGTACTGTATACGTGAGTGAGAAGATCCTAAGTAAATCCCTCACAAATTAAACAGACAAGTCTTTCCGCACCAGCGTTCAACCAAACTTAACAATATTTCGACTATCATGATTTCGGATGTCCCTAGTCAAATAAAAAAAAGTATGTACTATGGCTCGCGGCTCCAAGGTTAAAGGAGCTACGTCCTGGTTTAATTTGTGCATCTTGAAAAGCTTAGCCTAAATTTTTTAAGTTCGTTGTTTGTAATCCGTGATAATCTTCTTCATCCTTAACCAACCTTGTTTATTTATGGTTCATTTTAACGTCTTGAGTGTTTTCCCATCTAAGCGAACTACTGTTTTCAGGTTTCCTTCAATTTAAAGGTAATTCTACACACGGCCTAAATAAACTAAAATACCGTGACTGAGCTCCTTTGATGATTAAGAAAAAGGCTCATGAAAGAGTTAGAAATACATGGCTCAGTAGGATATCAAAGGTACGTTTTTGTAAGTACGTGTACAAATAAAGGTGGCGGTTGTTGTTGTTGCTGTAGTGGTACGACAATAGAAGAGGATGACAAAGGACGGAGCATGAGGCTCAAAAGACGTACGGACGTGATTCGCAAATTTACGAAGGTTAATAGAAGAGGCCTTGCATTTCAAAACGGTCTTGTTAAAAAGAATGCTGAGAGAAAGACTGAGGGCCGATATTCTTCCAGTACGGTCCCGAGCAAGCTTGGTAGATAAGATATTTATTACGCGACTGAAATAATCAGGAAAAAAGGCCACGATCAAGGACTGCATGGAAAAAGCGTGAATTCCCATTGGGAGCCGCCTTATTCTCCTTTATTTTCGCAGGACTTCACATTTCACGAAAATTTTCTCGGCACATTTCGCGAGTCTTTTAGTTCGCGATCGGGGAGAAAATATTGTGTTTGCAGTGAACTAAATTTCGCGAAATTGACGATTCAATGTCTTTATTTTTTCTTTTTTACAAAAACTTACGTCGATCAACAATTGCAACAAAACCAATGTGCTGTCGCTGACTCGGCAGCTGTATTCCTCTAAAAGTCAGTCTTGCAGTAATAAATAAAAAAGTCTTTTTGTTCTTCCGAGTCATTATCGAGTATCGGGAGTATCGTTACAAGTCCGCTCTAGGGAATCTCAATAGAACCTTCAGATCTTCAAATGGATCCTTAGGGGGAAGACATTACATTTCTCGATCGACAGCAATTTTCGCGGGTCTTTAAGTTCGCGACTTTTTCAAAATAGCGAAAATCGCGAATTTAAAGACATACGAAAATAAAGGAGAATAAGTGCTCACGTGTGATGTTGCACAAACCAGAAGGGAAAGAGGGTTGGTAGAAAAAGAAAAGGAATCTTTTATGTTTAAAGGAAGTTCTTTGAGAGTCGTAAGCCATAAAGTAGCCAAAACTAATCTTCACGAGTGATCGTGCGGGATCATTCGGGACAATGCCCGGTCCAATGCATTAATACTGCCGGAGAGAATATTGAACCGGCAATGGAGCGATCTGATTGGTTGTTATTGGCCCTCTAACTAACTTAGTCGTGTAATAAATTCCATTATTTCCTGGATTTTTTGCCAAAACTTTGCGCTTTGCGCTAATAGTAAAAATATCCCTTACTCCCTTTAATTAATCCAAAAATGACTTCCCCTTACTAGTAAATGCCCATGTTCCCTTGTTGCCACAAACCCCTGGAATATCGATCTGGCAAAATAACTTACCGTTTAAATAACAATTGAGATACCTACCGAAAAGCGTAAAATCACGTTTTTCCCCTATTGTTTTCCATTTTTTCCCCTATCCGTTGAATGGACATGTTTTTAGGATTTGCCAGGACGGTGCCTTATCGAATCGATACCGTGAGTTCTGGAAGTTCCTTTGGTGTGCATGATTTAACTCATATATACAATGGGTGAACGAAAGGTGAAAAGACCTCTTTTATTCATAACTTCCCTTCACCTACGCGTGACGGGTTCAAAGGCGCTTGCGAACGCAGCAAACCCCTCTCGCAAATCTAAGTTGCTATAACTTTCTGGAAAAATTTTTTTTCCTACATGTTTGAATATGCCTCTTCGAAATATCAAAGAGTATGAAGGCGCTATTAACATAAAATATATTTCTAAGTTGACTGGATGTTACGTGACTAAGTTGCGTGACCAAGGTATTAAACGCTACCCCTCCCCTGCAATGCACTCGAGCAGACTTGCGCAGTGCGTGGTACGCTAGCCGAGCAGACATCCATGATGGCTTCTGCCAAGAAAAAGCAGGACGAAAAGAACTTAAAACTTCTTCGTGACCTCGCTGCTTTACCCCACAACAAAAAATGCTTCGACTGTGGACAGAGGGGGCCAACATATGTGAATACGACCATAGGATCTTTCGTCTGTACCTCGTGTAGCGGCATTTTGTGAGTTGAATTGGCGGAAATTCGCGAGGCTTTTCGTAAACGCTAGCTAGCTATTAGTTGAATGATTTGGCTTTGCAACTCTTTTGAACGCTAATTTCCCACTCTTTGCGTTTATACAGAAGAGGACTTAACCCTCCTCATCGGGTCAAGTCAATCTCGATGACTAGTTTTACACCACAAGAAATAGAAAGTCTTCAAGGCACGGGAAATGAGGTGAGCTTATACTTCAAGTGGTTTTGTAGTAAGGGCTGACAGCATTTTCTGTCATTCTACTCTGGCATAATTAGTCGGTTAAAAGTTCCTTGTTGTGAGTTCTGATTTACCTCATGAAACGGTAAATTAGAGGCGCCATGTGCCGGTTCCCTTTTCAACCAGCACTTAGATCTTTGCAAGTAGATCAGAGTCTTGTTGAAGGGACATGACACCCCCAGTTTTATCGTTCACGTTGATCGTTTTCACGTTTCGTTTGAGCTATTTGGCCAATATTAGGCAGCTTGATTTGTGGTTTCGGTGCAAACTAACCCGTTGGAGTCCACGAACACTGGTTTGAATAGTCGATTGATTGACGGAGTAACTGGTGTTGCCGAAAAATGGAAAACTGGTTATCGTGACCGATCGTGACTAATGGGAAATCGTATCTTTACGATATCGCACGCATTGGTCAATTTCACGTTGCACTTGTTCCACTCATTCCGTCTCAGCTAAACTCTTTTGTAAATGTTCATCTCTTCCTATTTTTGAAATAGAGTGTGTTAAGTGCATTCACAGTTGAAGAGCAAAATTAAGCTTAGCTGTATTTGTGTATACAAAAATGGCGCGACTTTGTTGCAAGCCCCTTGTGGTCGCATTGTTTACTGCTAATCGATGACAATGCAGGTACATTGCCCAGTGTTGCAAAGCATAGTTGATTTGTCGAGTTATTTTAATAGTGTTTTCTTGGTTCATTAAGCTGATCCCTCAAGTTTCTTTGATTTATTTCTTTAGTTGTGATTGCTTGTACCTAAAAATGAAATGTCTTCAAATATTTTGACATTGGCTGAGTGAGTTGTTCAAAACGGCTGCTAACATGAAAATCAATTAATGAACACACATAAACTTGCATTGATGCTATAAATATATCACAGTGGCAGGGTGAACGCCACTCCCTGAGCTAACAAGTGTAGAAATCTAAATTTTTTATTTTAAATCCCTGAAGAAATTTTCCTTTTGTATCATTATAAATCCCCGTGTAGTATTTGGGTTCTTTGGTTTTGTATAATTCAGGTGTATAATTAGACCTTCCAAATGCTCACCCCTCCTCTTATTTCATTTAATCTAGAATATCTTTCATTTTATGTGTATAAATGGTTGGTATTAATAATTCCTGCTAAATATATAATTCCTTTTTGATAAGAATGAATAAAGTTGTGAAAAAAGGAGAATAAAATAATTATGAATAATATTGTTATGCTCGATTAATAAATTGTGCATATAAAATTTGTCTATTCTTTATGGACTCTACCTAATGTTGTACATGGAAACCTAAACTCTTTCTAAAGCAGAGCCGTGTTTGTAATATGTTTTAAGATATCGGAGGCATTTCTCCTTGTATGCAAAGAGTCACAATTGCACAGGGCTTTTGCTTGAGGATATTTACTACTACTCTTAAATTTATGGCTTGGCCTGGTCATGTTTTTTTAATGGCTCAAAACCATTATTTTCATTATTTGGCAGAACTTTTTATTGAAGGTAACTCTAATCAGTAACAACGCAGACACATGCTACTTTGTCCTACAGTTGTTCTACTCATTTTTTTCCAGAATAGTCTTATGTCTCGAGCCTATATAATCAACAATTATTCCACGAGCGCACGTTGGATATGAGATGGTGGATCTAGCCAACAAGGCGCATAGGGCCGAGTTGGCTATTAATAGTCATCTCCTATCCAACAAGCGTGAGTGGAACATTCAGTTCCAGAAAATATCCATACTCCCCCCACAGAAGGGATTGGAATTTCCTGGGGGGGTGAGGGGGTTCTGTAAGACCAAAACATTTAAAGAAATGTATGAAGCTCAATCGGAATTTCCAGAGGGGTGGGGNCGGGGAGGTATGGATATTTTCTGGACCTACAGAATAACTGTTTCATTAAAATTGCTCCAAAATATAGAAAACTAAACTAAGATAAAAGTAAAAAATGCCCCCGAAACTCACACGTACACTTACCATTTTTGTAGAGCATGGTATAATGGCTCATAACCCATGATGGCTAAGCCACTGAAAACTCTTGAATTGCATTATCCCATTCCAGCTATCCAGTTTTTAATAATTTGTGTTAGTCAATGTCCATTATATATTATGTTGAATTCAGATTGCTTTAATTTGCAAACATCTTCTGGTAGATGTTGATAGAGGTAGATAGATAGATAGATAGTTGGTGCCAATTTCCTCCCTTGCAGCCAGAGGCTGAATTGCGGAGGAACCAGAGAGGTGAGATCGGACGTCAGCATATGACGGCGCACTTTGCAGCCACTTCAGTCCATGTATGATCTCACCTTACCCACCCCAGACCAATGACCGGCACAAGTCAGATAGACCATGACACCGGGTTCTACGTCCCCTACTCTTTTCGAACAGTGTCATGCGTTCTTTAACGTCCCACAAGAACCAGATCAGTGAAGTGCTGTGAGACGGGGCCTACGGTTTATTGTCCTTATCCAAGAAGACTTGAATGTCTAACCATTTGCAGTTGTAATTACTTGTAAAGGCAGTATGTTGTTTCTTTGAATGAGTAATGGATAATTTTTGTGAAGCATTGTGCTTGTATATACATGTATATACACATTTTTCCCATTTGCATTTTAATGGTTAAACATAACAGAACATCTGTACTTTTAAAGTGTGTTTGTTATGAAATTATCCCTTGGGTAGATGCTATTTCTCTATACTTTCAGGGCTGCAAGTAACGGTTGCCCAGTTGCCTGTCCAAACAACCTGCCAAATTAATTTTAGCTTGTCGATATCTTGTTTCTGACTGGTCAAATAGAATGAGTAATTTTTCGTAATACACAATATTAACCCCTTCTCCCACCCAAAGTAAAAGCTAATTTCTTTGCTACACTTTACATGGCAGTCAGATTGCAACTTGGAAAGACAATAAACTTGTAAAGAAGTGAAAGGTCATTTTTAATTCATTATTTATTTAATTAATAGTTTCTTGAAATTTGACTTTTATACTTTGGGGTTGGAACCAATTTGCATCCAAGAGGGAAATGGACAACTTGAAAAGTACTCAAGGAAAAATATTTTGAATTTGAGAGTGGAAGTTTGCATTTCAATATGTCAATTGTCAGTACAGTTTTAAGGTTGCACAATACCTTGAGAGTGCTACTTTTGTCAAAATTTTCTTTCTAAGCAAAACGAAAAGGTTGCTACAAAATCTAACATTTCCCAGAAAATGAAGGTAAATCTTGAAACCTGCGCAAGTTATTTTTTTTTAATAAAAGTTAATAATTTAACAGAACTTAGGTGTCCTAATACTCATAGTGTGTCGACTTTTTGCGCAAAACAGCTTCCTTATTACAGGGGGCCCCTCATTAGCATTTTTTGTTTACAAGCTATTTTGCAATTGTGTTCTTGAATTAATTTGTCCTTCTCTGCTACCTATCACTCCTCATTGTCTTTAAGGTCATGAAACGTGGTAAAAAAAGGAAGAGAAAAGTCCAAAGGCAAAAGCACAGCCAAAACAGTACACACTTTTTTCCAAATTGTACAGTTTATAACCTTTTTATTGATATATAGTTTGTGGTAGTTTCCTTAAAAACAACGCTGGAACAAATTTTTTTCTGAATATACAGATTATACAGAATATACAGCATGATGATGCTGATAGTAAATAATTATTATTCCACGAGTGCATGTTGGATATGAGATGGTAGATAGCCAACGAGACGTGTAGTGTCAAGTTGGCTTTAATCATTTCATATTCAATAACCATGAGTGAAATGATGGCTTCATTAGAAACGCCCCCAAAGTAAAATAAAAAACGCCCCATGAAAACATCACACATACGCTTACCATTTGTAGAGCATGGTGTAATGGCTCATTACCCATGATGGCTAAGCCACTGAAAACTCTTGAATTGCATTATCCAATGATCCAGTTTTTAATAATAAACAAGAGCATCTGCATGAAAAGTTTAATTTTTTTCTTGATATGATTGAATGTGAACAGCAAGGCAAAATTTTGATCGGTCTGGTCAAATCCCTTATCAAGCCGGACGTTGTCCTATGTTGTTGTCCTGTAGATGTTGTGTGGCTGTTATTTCCAGCCCTGCCCCTTTATAATGGGTACACCTGTATTTAAGAAATAGAGAACATGTATCGTGTTTCTATGGAGTGATAGAAACACAAGTGAAAGTTTGGGAGAACAAGAAATGCTGTGGGAACAC